CATGTGCCCAACAGAGCGGGTCCTGTTTATCTACACTGCGCTTCAGATGTTTCTTCCCATCTGTGATGTCAGGATCTACATCAGAGTGAATGTATCTGCATAACTTGAAACAATCTTTTTATTTGATTCAATGGTCAATTTTTCTTTTTAAACAGAACTCATTTTAAATTTTAAGAGCATTTTTATTTAAACACTTTTATTACAGTATTTATGTAGCTGCAATATTGAACAAACTTCTGCAGCACAGAGTAACATTTTGATAGACTTTGCAACTCTGCCAGAAGTAGAATTCCACATAAAAAGTGTTATTTAAATGGTAAAAGTAATAATAAAAGGAGCATAATTATTACCAAAAAGATTTTCAGTGCAAGTTTTATAAGTCAGTTTCTTGTACAAAGAGGACAAATTCAGAGAATTACTGAATTTAGAAAAGAATAAATATACATAGAGAAATGCACATTTACAAAAAGTTAGATAAAAATTTGCTGAAAACTTATATGTCAAGCCCATGAATCATTCCAGAGAGTGGGACCAAAGCACGAATGCCCTTGATAGCTCAAAACTAAAAAGTGGACACATGAGTAACCGGTCAGTTACTCATTGTCTTCTCAGTCCCAGCATACTCAGTATTTCTGCCTGCCACTGTGTTCTTAGCTACAATTTACTATCCTGTCCCCTCAGGATATCCAGTCAGGTCCACAGTATCCACTGACACGGTCTAGGAGTAGAGTTAAGAGGTCCCAAAGCTCTGGGGGTGGATGTGTGGAATCTAAGGTCTCAGGCACGTTTCTGGAGGGGTGATGACCTACATCATTTTGTGTAAATCACCAAGTAATATGTAACTCACTAAAAAAGGAAACCAATGGCTGATTACATAAATTTCCCAAAGCAACACAATGATGATTCACTCAGACAGGTAAGAAAACACTGTAATTTCTCTTTACATCCAGCTCTTTTGAAAGAGAAACTAAGCCATACCGGTATGTCCTACATCGTAAGTAAGCACATCTATGTACATGTGTGTGTGCGGAGAAGGAAGAGGCAAGGAGAGCATGAGAGAGGAGAGCTGTAAAACTCACAGTGTGCAGAGAATTCGAAAGGTTGGAGAACACTGCTCTATGTCAGAGGTTCACAGGGAATCTTTAATTTCTACACAGGAAGAGGTGAAAGAATATAAATCTTCAAGTACTGATATATTTTTACTCCTTTCTATTTTACAAGACACAATTCATTCAGGGCAGAAGTGGCCTCAGGATTCCACAGGGCCCAGATGCATGGAATTGCCCGGTGTTTCCAAGGGTACAGAACCTTCCTAAGGGCCTCCTTTGGCTGGTCTTGTAGTCGTTGTTGTTCATGCCGGGGATTGAACTCAGGACCTTGTGCTTGCGAGGCAAGCATCAGTTTGCTGTTTTTATTCCAGGCGTGTACTACTTAACACACTGTCCTGTAAAATCCCGTTTCTGTAACTGTGTTCTCTTCTGTTTTGTTCTGTTTCAGTTTATTCTGAGGGTAACTTGTCCTTCTTTCTCCATAAAAATGGGATAGACAACATTTCAGAATAAGAACATATCTTAGCAAATCCTTTGGAATTTGGGCATTATGTAAAGTCATTTTTCTGCCAAGCAATTTTCTTCACAATTTAGATTTATTTACAATTTAATTTTATGACATTATATACCTTAAAAGATAAAAAAGCCCCCAAATAAGCCACAACTTTGGCTAGAACTTCCTCTAGAATATTGGAGCTTAAGTCAGTTTTGGATGTGCCATTTAAATTTTGTCCTGATTTCTATCCCAGTGCTTACATCTAACACTATTTTATGAAACTAAATTTATTTTGATGGAAATGAATCTGCACTGATTTTATTTTTTTAAAAAAGGTAGCTTTTAGACTAATACATTTTTTCCTTTTGTTTGCTGTTTCAAAAATTAAAAATCTATACATTTATGAAGACATTGCTTTTGTTAGTCACTGAATTCTGGAAGAGATGGGCATAAATAAGAAGCAAAAGGGATAATTTCAGTTAAAAATGGTATTATGTGGACCAGTATGATGTAGGTATGGTTGAAAGCAAAGCTGCTTTAAGGGAAATATCGATGGCAATAAAATGTACAATGTTGAAACTGGCTTAAAGTTAATACTATTGATTGTCTGTCACTGATACAATAGAAGAAAAATTTAAAAGGAGCAGCACTTCATCAAAAATCTAAAAGCTTGGGGTGTATCTCAGTGGAAGAGTGTATGCTTAGCATGCATGAGGCCCTGGGTTAAATCCTTAGTTCTTGGAAGGAAAGCAAAGTCTAGAAACTGGACACCAAGAGCAGAAGGAAGTTGAGCTTACCAAGGGCTGCAAAATACTAATTGATCTCCACACTGGGAGTGCCTGAAACTGGAGTGATCCTTCCCTTCTCAGAAGAGGTGGCCAAGACTTCCCATGACTTGAAGACAGCCTGCCAAGTACTGTACATAGATCTTTGGAAATGACATTCTAGCATTGTCTTTCTGACAAGGCAGGCTGTCTCTGACTTTAACCTGTGTGGAACACTGTGTTGTGTCTGCAGTGCTGAGTTTCCCTTCCAGGGAGACTGGAAGCTCTCTTTACAGGAGCTGCAGTGTACCTCTGCCACACCTCCCTTGGGAACTCTCCCACCAGCCCTGTTTCCGTTCCCGCACCTGGGAAGGCATTCTCCATGTAACTGTCCACGCACCACTGCCAAACAGCACAACTGGCTGAAATAGATTCGGTTCTTACTGCTCAGCGAAAGGAGATCATTTGGATCTGGAACCAATGCCCCATATGGGGAGAGGCTTAATCTCCGCTAAGAGGCACTGGGGGTGGGCCCAGAAACTTCAGGACCTGGGGCCTTGTGAAAGATCTGTAGGCAGTCTAGGGCAGGCCCTGGGAAAGAGGTGGGACTCCACTTGTCCTCTTCCTTTTTCTCTCGCCTCCTGAGTTCGGTGAATTGTTTCCTCCCCACGCTCCCACCAGATGTGCTGCTGCCCCCCATGCACAGCAGGGGCCTACAATCACTAGGTCCACCTCCTCAAAGACCAAAGCCTCCAGAAATAGCAGCCGAACTAAACTCTTTTCTCTTTGTAAATTGTCTTAGATAGCTGTTACATGATCTAGCAAGTTGACATAGCGAAATATGTAACAAAAGGATTTGTCACTTACTAATACTGATTCATACAGGTCAAACACATACACTTTAGACAACCAAGCTGGACATAGTGGTGCACACCTGTAATCCCAGCACTTGGGAGGCTGAGGCAGGAGGCTCACCACAAGTTCCAGCCCAGCCTAGACTACATAGGGAGAGCCCATCTCGAAAACAAAGCAAAACAAATTATTGCAGTCATTTCCTTCTCTTTGGAACTGTAACAGTGACTTCAATATATGTCAACTGGAAATGAAATAAAAATTAAAAGACAATACCGCAGCCTTAGACTTCATTGTGGCTTTGATATTGGGTAATTTCTGGGTGATCTCCCAGAGCCCCGATCTGTTCTCAGTAGACAGCTCGTTTACAGGCCCCCTAAAGAGCAGCTGTTCCATCCCATGCCTTCTCACCTGAGCCTAGGACAGCCCAGCAGGTCTGCTTGACGTGACTGGCAATCTTAAGAAAAGGCATTTGGAAGACAGGTTGGGTAATGTACAAGTGACCCCACCTCGCCCTCCTATGAGAAATGAAGAACTACTGGCCTCAATACTGATGTGAAATTCCACTGCCAGATTCCCCCAAAGCCACTTTGGGAGACTCCAGATCAAAGCAAAACATAAAAGGTGCTGGGATGTAGCTCAGTAGGACACTCTGGGTTTGACGTCCAGTATGGAAGGAAAGAAGGGAAGAGAGGAAGGGAGACAGGGATGGGGTTGGAGAGCAATGCAGGATGTGGCCTGAGTCGTTTTCCCTCGAGACACAGACACGTCCACACTGTCATCTGTGCACACACACAGCCATGCTTGCTCGCGCATTTTTTCAGAAATGTGTCCAACCCTGCCATTCTCCTCCTCTGAGGCTTCACCTCTCCCTCTGTGAGTAGCTGTAAACATTCAGAAAGAGTGGAGACCGATGAGTCTGTTTTACTGCTCCTTTTATTTCCATTTTCAAGGGCCTCTGTAGGGCACTCTAGGGAACCTGCCACGGATGACACAACTTCTCCAGGAGAGCACAATCGTCTGGTCATGTTTATTTAGGTAAAGTGCCAAAATTGTAGAGAAGACACCGGAATAGTACAAGGAACTCGCCTACAACTTCCTTCCCCAGATTATATGATTTCCCCATTTCTCCTGTCTGTGAGCATTTGTGTGTGGTTATGGGTCATGCACACATGAAAGATGCTGTTTGTTTGTTTGTTTTGGCAAGTTCTGGGCATCAAAACCCCATACAGGTACTGGGCGATTGCTCAACCAGACCAGTGAGCTGCCCTCCTGGCCCTGAAAAGTTCTTCCAAGTTCTCATTAATTTACTTTCAGATCATAATCTATTACTGAATTGAGATCTAACTAAAAACATATTTGATAAAGACAACATTCATTGTATGCATTCTGATATCCCATATTTCCTATTATTTTCTTTGAAATAAAGACTCCATTTCAGTAAAAAGGTACTTACATTTTTATTTTCCCCCTAAATATTTATGTAACTTCTTATCACTGTGAGAATGTAAATATGTTTTCCCAAGGTGATGGTACCACTGAATTACAAGGTGCATGCTAACAAAACGTATCATCTTTTAGTACATGTAAGTGTCACTTAGTAAAAAGCAATTATTGTACTATCTGCAGTAGTACCCTTGGATGCTTTGAGGTCGGTTACTACTGATTATTATTCCTGATGACCCCATGGGCTAGCTTGGGCCTAATGGAGACAGTTCAAGAAATTTAATTAATTAATTTATTTATTTATTTATTTATTTTGGTTTTTTGAGACAGGGTCTCACTATGTAGTTGAGACTGACCTGGAACTATGTAGCCCAGGCTGGTCTTCAACTCAAAGCGATCCTCCTGCCTCAGCCTCCCGAGTGCCGGGATTACAGGCATGGGCCACCACACTGGGCTAAGAAACTTTAAGCTGAACTATGCCACAGAACTCCAAATAAGTCAGCACATGTATTGTCCTGCTAATGCTGATTTAAAAACGCTAATGTGCACATTTCTCTTGCTTTTAAATTTGTTCTCTTTTAAAAATTAAGCCATTTTGTAAACCAAACTCAGAACATTTAAAAATATTCATTAAACATAAAGATTCAAGCTTCAGGGCTGAAGCTGCAGCTTGGTAGCAGAACACTCACCAGGTTGGTGCAAAGCCCCAGCTTCTGACCCCAGCAAGCCAAAAGAGATGTTTGCCACCTCTCCCTCCACTAGGGGTCTCCTGAGAGGAAATTATCAAGATATTTCAACCAAAAAATTCACAGATGTCTACTTGTCACACAAAATCTTGATTGCTAGTACGTATACACACAACCAAATGGTCAGCACGAGTATTCAAGAAAAATGAGCTGCCAAAAAATGATGAAGAAAAGTCTCATTTTTCACTTCTGGAATTAGATTTTCTTCTTGGAACCTTACCATGGCTCAGAATGGCGATAGAGAACATCTGCTAAAAGACATCCAAATTATTCTCTGTGTGTGCCTATGTGTGTGTGTGCATACACACACAAAGGATTGTGCATTTGTGGTCAGACTTTAATCCGATTTCACTCCTGGCTAAATTAAATTAGAATAGTATTGCACTTAAACATAGGCTATTGTCTTTTGTTTGTTTGTTTTGGTACCCGGGATTGAACTCAGGTCCTTGCGCTTGCAAGGCAGGCCACCAAACCACTGAGCTAAATCCCCGGCCCCAAGGCTATTGTCTTCAATATTTTTACAGTTATGATACTTGAATGAATAATAAGAATTAAACTGCTAACTTCAAGTGAAATGGCCTTTACCAGGTGGAGAATAAAAAATAATAAATGTCGACCCAAAGAATATATTTATTTCATAATAATGTATTATGGGGAATATTTTTTTACTTTAAAAACTGAAAATATTCTTTGACATTTACAGAAGTACTATTTCATATCCTATTGCATATAACCTCTAGTTGCTCATTTTCTAGAAACAAAAGAAGCAAAAACAACAAAAAGATGCAATGAAGAAAACATGGCTCAGCCTGTTTCATTACTTGCGCTAAGAGCTAAGTGAGGAAATAAGATGAACTGCAGAGTTAAGAGGCCGAAAGAACTCACAGTAGAAGGACTGCGGTCTCCCGGGCAGAGCTTCTCTGAGGCAACGCGACCACAAAGACAGTAACAACTGCACCACTGCACCCGGGCACAGGGCGGCCACGCCACCCTGCCCAGCTGACTACAATGACCCCAAACACACTCGGCTCTGAATTTAGAGCGCGGGCAGGAAGCGATTGGTATAAAACAGAACTACGGCCCCAAAAGTCACTTTCCGAGGTTTCTCTTAGACAGAAAAGTTGAAGAACTGAAGTGAATGCATTTTTGTCACGTTAAATGAAAGACAGAACAGGCTGAGTTCACTCCCCACACCGAGGCTGCTCATGACCCTCCTGCCTCCTAAAGTGCTTTCCGTGGTTCTGCACCTTCTCAAAGAAGTCAGGCCCCATAGAGCAACCAACAAGCGCATGGCCTACTAATCTACGCCTGATGCTTTGCCTAAAAAGTGAGCACTGCTACTGTCCGCATCTTTCCTCTGGAACCATGGTTTTGAATTTGTCCCTTGATGATAAGCATCCAGAAAATGGCAGATTCCGGGAATTTCACTGGGAAAGTTGCGTGGAAGCTCCTCCCGGGATCGAGGGGTAAACACAAAGCCAGGGCAGTCTTTGAGTAGCCTGCAAACATCAAAATAAAAGGATTAAAAGTTCCACACTAACAGAATGATCACTCAAGAAAAGACGGCGACAGGACTGAATGAGTATCGCTCACCCCATCATTTCGGCTGTGATCCAGAGACTTCGTGATGTTAATACAGGCCTTCCCGAGAGTAACGCAATGAAGAATCGAATCCGCAGTAACAATGAAATTCTACCAACTAGCATAGATACTTACAAAATATTTTTGTAAATATATAATCTATATAACCGTACAATTCACAATTTTTTTTTTTTTTTTTTTTTTTTTTTC